TTAGACTCGTATGAGGCAGTATGAAGTGGTTTGAGCTGCTTGTCTTTGTTAAAATGTATCCTTATTTCCGAAAGATAGCAAAAATGAAGCATGTATTGTATTATCACTTGTGCTAAATTAGAAAAAAATATATTTTTCTGCGCATTCTATGAAATCGGAAAGCATTTTTTACTGCTCTCTTTTTGATGTATCTCTTTGTTCATTTTTATGTACCTTTTCCATCCCTTCATTTTCTTCTGCTAGAGTCAAGTTTGGTTTTTATATAATTTTTAGTTTGGCTGATTATGTTTTAATACGGGACTTCTGCACAGCTCTAATATTCAGGTCCTGCTAATTTTTGTTAGTAGTGATGGATCGACAAACTCCTGATTATGCAGCTGCTATGGCGTTTGCTCAACAGCAGCACCAAGCAGCTAACACTCAACAGCAACAACAATTTGGTTTTCATCCCCAACATCAACAATTTCCTCCTTCAATTCATGGTCCTCCATTTCTAGGCCCGCATTCTTCTCTTCAACAGTTCCCTTACCCTCGCCCTATGCAGCAACCACAACTCCATCCGCATACACCCCCTCCACATCTTCTTCATCTTCAACAGCAACAACAACCACCTCCTGCTTTTCCACCACACATGCCTCCTCACCTTGTTTCATCACCTTTTTTCAATCCGTATGATTCTCCCCCACCTCCGTCTCCTCCACCATCTGATCCTGAACTCCAAAAGCGTATTGATAAATTAATTGAATATGCTGTCAAGAATGGTCCTGAGTTTGAAGCCATGATCCGTGAAAAGCAGCAAGACAATCCTGCTTACAGTTTCCTCTTTGGTGGTGAAGGTCATTATTACTATCGCTATAAGCTTTGGATGTCTACTCGCCCCCCTGGTGGGGCCTTCAATCCTCCTTTCCCATCCTCTTCTTTGCCTATGATGCATCCACCAAATCCTATGATGAGTCCGTCACCCTTAACTCCATATAATGCCTCCAATGCTTCTGCTGCAATGTTAGGTCCATCCCATTTGCATCGACCCCCTTTCCCACCCTTTTATGATCAACATCATTCTCAGCCTTTTAGCCGAGCAGATTATGAACATTCATATGGGCCTTTCAAAGGTCTATCTAGGCCTCTTCCATCAGATGTAGAGATGGAGCTTAGTAATGTCATAAATAATCTTACTGGTACGAAAGAGTCAATTAAAGGTGCCAAGAGTTGGTTTATGCAGAGATCTCCATTTGTACCTGCTTTGGCTGAGGCGCTCAGAGACAGGGTGTTTTCCATAGATGATTCGGAGAGGCAACTGCATATAGTCTATCTTGCCAATGACATCTTATTTGATAGGTAACATTTGATATCTTGGTGCTTAGTGATTTACTGCTAACTCCTAGATATATTAACTCTTGAATTCTCCTTCACTTTTTGTCTATGCTTTCCTTTTTCTTTTTAAATTTCTTCAATTGCAAAATATTTCTTATTTTTTATTTGGTGCCTGTTATTGACTTTTTCATATTAGCCAAGATAAATCAAGTTTGTTTTGTAAATTGTAATAAGAAGAAGACACTCTGAAATTACTCTTGATTGTCAAGATGCATAGGGACCATCACAGATTCTTGTGGGCTAATTCTTGTGATTAATGCCTTGCGTTGTACCAACCTATAAATCTCTTTGCCATTTTTTGAATAATATTTTTAACAAAAACCTAGCAGAAGTAGTACAATAGAGTGGAGATGGTGCACACTGGTGTGTAGGATGAAATGCTTGGTCTTTGCTTGTAGAAATTTGTTACTGCTGGTTGGATATTGGTCCAAAGGTGGTAGCATGGGCAGTTAGGGATCATTAGGTGGTAGAAATTTTGCTAAGATTTGTAATTTGACAACAAGAACTAATGAACTCTGAGTAGACGTGATCCAGTTTGAAGGTAGAGATATCATTGGTAGTGGTGGGCACACGTAAGAATCCTATGAGGAAGTAGCCTACCGACATCACTTTTTTTTATGATGAGTAGCCTATATGCATCATATATTTTGATGTATTCAGTGTTCGCTGGTTTTGGAGCACAATTTACTTTTGCCACTCTGAACTGTTCTCTTTAGGTATAGAAGATTGGGTGTTGTTCGAAGAAAACCATATCGTTTTGTAGGTTTTCAACTTTTTGGTATGCTTCTTGTATACGTGTGCTTTTTGCCCAAATAGTATATTGAATTAATAAAACAAAGAGTACCAGAAAGGGTAAATTAGCCTGGTCACAATTTTTTACGTTAATGATAAAATATATTGAAAGAATGTTACAAAGAAATCAAAATAAGGAAAATAAACATAATATCATAAAAATCACTAGGGAGATCAGTGCTACAAAGCCAACCTGATGGGAGGTCTCTAAAATATTCCTACAATTTTTTTTACTTTGTCAAGAAAACTATTTGGCTTAATACACTTGATCCTCTCACTATCTTAATGATACTCAACCGTATTCTCATTTTATTTTCTGAATTGTGCAGCTTGCAGCGACGAATCAATCCTCCTGAGCTTGACAATGAGGCACTTGCTTTTAAGCCTGTTTTGGGTCCCATGCTTGCGAGGATATACCACAACCCTCAAAACAAGGAAGAAAATCAATCTCGGCTTCAAAAAATTCTACAGTTTTGGGGTACGAAGGAAGTTTATGATCAGGATACTATTCGTGCACTTGAAAATGAGATGATAGGTGGACACCCTGCAAATTTTTCTGTTCCTCCAAAGGAATTAATCACACCAGATACTTCTGCTGCTGCAGGTAATTGTTTGCCTTTATAGCTGGAGCCGGGAGTACCAAGATGTGGAATATCGAAGATTCATAAAAATAAAAAAAGAACATTCTGCTGCATTGTTAGTTGCAAATGTGAAAATATACTCTTGTTTGTATTTCTTACGGTTTTGTTTATGGTTTCCTAGGATTAATGCACCAGGCGGCAAATCAGAGTACTTTTCAGTGGAAGCCTGACCAGCAAAGTTTAGCAAATCTAGCTGATCAAGGCAAACAAGTTCCTATTATACCATCTGTTGCACCACAGCAGTTTCATGCGGGTGCTGTTCCGCCTACTGGATTTCCTGGGTTAATGCCTATACCATCTTCTGTTCCACCAGCAAATCTACAACCGGCAGCTCATCTGACACCAGCAAATATAGGTGAAAAAGTACCTCCATACCCCTTGTTCCCTCCTGGTCTTATTCCTGGTATGGTCAGGAAGATGCAGATTGGTAGTGGGGTGCCTTACTCTCCCATGAGCCCCTTGGATATTCCCACCGTCATACCACCCTCGACTGTGTCAGAATCTGAAATTCTTGAAAGGGTGTCTAAATTTTTTAGAGATATTGGAGAAGTTAATCCATCAGAAGGACCTATTAAACAATCTGAATCAGCCAACGATTATGATGACTATGAGAGAGACTCTCCTGTCCGGAAGGGAGGAGCTTGCATTCCTCCACCTCTAAACCTTCAAGTTGATCCGGAAACTGGGACTTATCCTGATGGAAGTATTCCGCAGAAACCTGGATCGAATAGCTCTGGACGATTAGGACTTGGAGCCACAGCCAATCCAAACGAACCAAATCAATATGATGATGTTTACACTTCTTACAGGAAAGATAGAAGCACCAATTATCATACATCAATGAGTGCAAGAACTGCTACGAGGTGATTTAGGCGATAATGTTAAGACTAATCCGTTTCTCTTTGATCTACTGTTGAGTGGACTAAGACTGTATCTAGTCTATTTTGTTGTAAATTGAGATGAATATTGAATGACATCGCCGCATGTGACAAAATGAGAGCTCTACCCAGTCTTTCTTTACTAAACAACTAGCAATGGTATTTGTCCAATTGATCTTTCAGATGTTTTTTTCTCCTCCTATCTTTTTCTGTGGATGCTATTGAAATGTTTTACATGGATGGTATATTGTCATTCCTCCTTGAGCTAAGAGGGTCTTATCGGAAACATCCTCTTTACCTTTGAGGTAGGGGCATGGTTGCGTGCACTCTACCCTTTCCAGATCCCATTTTGTGGGACTACACTGAATAAGTTGTAGTATATTGCCACTCAATGTGTTATTATAACTTCCATATTTGGTTGAAGTTCATGTTGAGATGTGATGGCGGGTTAATGAATTGACCAATAAAAAGAAAATTCAGTTATTATGTGACTCATTTTATTTTTAAAATTAATTAAATTGACTTGGAACACCAAACACAATAAGTAACTTGGTCTTAAAATCTTTCATAATCTGAAGGTAAGTTGCACAAATTAATGTATATTAATAAATGAATTGCTATCTGTATCAAGGTTGTTATTATTGCACACATACTATCTTGTTCATCGATTTTATTATTACATCTTGTTTTCTTTGCTTCAAGTATAGTATAGTATATTATCAATTATGTGTTGTTCTTAATGTTCTCGTCTGCATTACTGTATTTTCCTTTCCACATGTGATTTTATTGTGCCTTACTTGAGCCGAGTATCTATTATAAACTTCTCTACCTTCACAAAGTAGGGGTAAAGCTGCGTACACTCCCGAAATCCCACTTGTGGAATTACATCGGGTATGTTGTTGCAAATCCCACTTGTGGAATAACATCAGGTATGTTGTTGCAGTAAAGAATTTATATCTGAAGTTTACACCAAAATAACAGTGAAGGTCTCAAATTTAATGCCGTTTGGCTAATAAAGCTCAAATATAATATATATATTTTTATTTTTTTTTATAACCGAGAAATTCTTCTGTGACCCGCCCTTTGGATCAATCACAGCCTTCTAAACTCGGTGGATAATGGGCCCGCCCCTCTACCCTTCTCCACTTAAATACCAGGCTTCGCTTTGCATGATGTGAGGCTTGAACCTGCGACCTAAGCCACAAATCCTCCACCTTTTGCCACTTGAGCTTGGCCTTGGGGGCCTAATAAAGCTCAAATATGATGCACAATTTATAAAGGCACATGTTTTTTTTTTTATCTAACAAGGGAAAAGTAGAAGAGAAACTGTATACAAGGGTGAAAAGAATTATAGTAGTAGCTGGGAACTTTTTACACAGTGAGCAGTTTGCTAAAATCAGCACAACTTTCTACAGGGATTTCGACTAATTCAAACACGCCTTAACAAAAAGGAGTCATGTAACGAAAAACTGGCAGAAGAAAACAATTGAAAATGACATCTGAAGTGTAATCAACAAGATGTTAACCTCTTTTAGACATATGTCAAAATATATCGCGCAATCTTGGTTTGAACTGTCAAGTGAACAGATAACTTAGGCCATAGTGGAACAAGTTTAGCAAGTTCCAACAATTAGAAGGCCCCTTCTCCTTGACAAGATCACGCGTATTCAAACAATCTCACCGTCTTGATCTTCTGACACTTTGGCCTTCTCCTAGCCTTGATTTTGTGGCACTCCCCTGAATAATGCTCGATTTTTCCTGAATTGTACCACAGGGATCTCTAGAAGGCCAAGGTTGCTCCCACTGTCGGATGGGGCTGGAAATGTCTTTGCAAGATCCTGTCCCGGAACTAGCTATTAGATGATCCTTAAGGCCCTTCACTGCTTTAAGTCTCTGTGCTTCATCCAGATAACTATATCGTTGGCCTAGTTTCTCGAGTTCATGAAGTCTTTCCCTGTCTAATCCATCTCCTGAGGTTGGAAGATTTGCAGCTTGATTGACATACTCGACAACTCCACCAGAAATGCTCCTTTGAATGGGAGTGCTTCTTCTGGGCTGCCCAGCGATGGAGTTTCTTGCTCTTCTTTCATCAACTGAAATTCGTTTTGACTCACGAACTACATTAGATGGATAAGCCCAATTGTAGCTCTTATTGGAATTGTCCATGTTTAGTTCAATTGAATGAAGATCACTTTCTGCTGAGTCTTCCCCGCAGTCTGCAACATTCTCCACTTCTCCATCATTGTCTTTTTCTATACTCAAGGATGCCGTATCTTCATTATTTCTGAAATTTAGGGAACCGTTTCTCTTACCTTTGGTCTTTTTCTTCCCCAGGAATCCTTCAAGCTGCTTCCTTAGCTTGTCAATAGCAGAATTTTTCTCCTCGAAATGATTCTTGGCCTCTGAGAGTTTCACGTGAGCCCTTTCCTCGCGCAATCTATCAGCTAACTGGAGCATCTCTCTTTCCTGTTCAATCTCTTCTTGAACTTTTGCAGATTCCCTCTTCATCTCTTCTGCTTCAGCTTTGTCTTCATCAATATCTCTAGCTAATTCATCACATACCTGTTCCATTACTTCTCTGGCTCTTTTCTCACTTTCAAGCTCTTTCACTACCTTCACGAATGATGCTTTTGAATCCGATAACTCTTTGCCAAGTTTTTTGTTCAAGCTCTCAAATCTCCGCCTAAGCTTTCTCTCTACCTCAAGTTCATTTGCAACGGACTCAATTGCAGCCTCAACTGCCTGTTGCCCTTTATTCTTCCAAGCTGCTTTCTCTTCAGCAAAGCATTTAAGGAGATAATTAATCTCATTTTGATCCGAGCGCTGGTCTTGAATAAGCTGGTTCACCTGCAGGCGGGCCCTTTCTAGCTCAGTGTGTAACACAGAGACAAGTGACGTGCTAGATGAAGGTTGATCAGCATGTGCCCAAATTCGATTGATTATTTTCAGAAGCTCTTTGGATGTTGTCAAAGCATTACTAACATCCTTCAGACGGCTGCCAAAACCAGTCACTGATCCCCGTGGAGTCTGGGCACGAGATCTGGTCTCAAGCTGCATTACAGAGTTATATAAAGGATCACTCTTTTTTAGCAACAATAAGCATTCACAGCCAGTCAATGCATTTCAAATCTACCCTTTTACAACCTAACCATTGATTTCCATTTTTACTTGCACGAACACGAAGAAACAGAAAGTGTGACATAATACCAAAAGTAAGTATGAACTTAAATTGCATGCTAATGAGGTATAATAAACAATAAAATTGACCAATAGGAAGGAATTGGTTGCCACCTCCATAAAACTGGCGCTGCTTAAAGAATCTAACATTCCAACATTATGGTCCGTAGTCCTTGGTCTACGGGAAGTTGTTGATGATCTCTTCTGATAGCTTCCTGTTCCAGACCGATCCATCCTCTGCACAATCAATGCAAATATGGATTACTAACAACAAACTTAAGTAACTAAGATCGCCCAACTTGTCATCATGCATCGAGAAGACGAGGAGGTACACCCCAACACGTGGAGAACAAATAAAAACATATCATAATCTTTGCAAACTGTTTCTCAAGGCAGAGTCTTTGTAAAGCCAGTAATAACAAGACAAACATTACTGTTAAAGGCGTAAAGCTGTTTATGTCAAGTAAACTATTTCATCAACCATACAGCAAGTTCATTCTACAAATCCATTTCTTTTTCCTCTCTGTAGGATGGAACAAAATAATCAGTAGGACAAGTAAAGAGGATGAAAAATATCATTTTCACTATATCTCCACCATACAAGTTACAACAACCATATATTAGTATTTGTGATTACCTAACTAAACTAATATTTGAGAATTGACTAATACAAACATCATTTTCTCTGGATTTCTAACAACCACAGGAAACTAATCAAACTGAATTCAGCAAAATATAGTTTCCACATCAAGATACAACACTTCGGCAAAAACAAATAGAGCGAAAGGGTCAAAACCAATCCATTTTTTCGAGTTTCATACCTAAACTATCGGGTGTGGGAGTTTCCTACCTCAACTATAAATTGAGTTATGGTGATATTTCAAGGCGTTTTTTTGATAAATAGTTGGTGATAATTCCCGTATGAAACTCGGAAAACCAGGATACTTTAGATATGTTTATGATCATTATACTAACATATTCCAAAAGAGTGAGCCCAGTAGCTCACCTCAGAAACCGGGCTATGAGATGGATCACACAAATGAGGAGGCAAAGAGCCCGAAACAGAGCCCGAACTCATATGACCAGCCCGAATTTTCTCCTTCTTCATCATCATCTTCTTCTTTTTCTCCAAGTCTTCCTCAGTCATTCTTGGTGAAGGCATTTCATTCATTTCCCACAATGTAGCAGCAAGTTTTCTAGCTGAAACTGGCTGTGATATCCCACCACCAAGGGACTGTTTGGGTGACTCAACAACGTTTCTCAATGGAGTAGCTCTCCAACTTGGTACTGGTGTATTGGATCTAGACCCTCTAAGCCCAAACCCGAGCCCGAGCCCGTTTCTTGATTTCCCAACTAAAATAGCCCGTTTAAATCTGTAGTTATACACTTTTGATGATGCAGATGAAGAAGATGAACAACCCCTTTTACGGATCTTGGGTATTAAACCCTCCACCATAGCCTGATTCTGCCTTGGCATTATCAATTCCCCTTCCCAAAAATTACCCCTCTAGTACGATCTGAAGTGAAATACATACGAAAAAAACTGCTAGATTTTGATATTTTTGAACTGGGGTTTCAAGATCTTGATCAGAAAACTTCAAGAAACTGAAAAAGATTGGATTTTTCAACTTGGGTATTGAAAAAGATTGAATTTTTTTTCACTTTGAAGTGATAATGACATTCAAAATGGGAAAGGGTAAAGAAGGGACAAAGTGGTAAGGGAGACAAAATTGTGTTTGCTAATACTTTTGATATGATTTTGATTTGAAATGATAATGCATATAGAGAATAGCAATTAGGAAAGTTTTTTATTGACAGCTTGACTTTTGATTACAAATCTTTATACATTTTTGTAACTAATACTACATGGTAGCCATAAGTGTACCCATAGGAAAGATGTGATTAGTATCAACTACCCTCGTCGAGGAGGAATAAGTATTCATTTATCTATAAATTTAACATAAATTAAAATTAATCGAGCCTCGATACCGATGAAAAAGAAGACTGGAAGAAAAAGAGAGTTCACTGTGCATGTGAGGCTAAGAACGTGCAAGGGAATTATTGGTGTTTGCTAGTTGCTACCATCACAATATTCTGAATTCTGATACAGTAGCTTTTTTGCTGCTGTCACTAAAAGAAGAATGTTTTATTTTTTTTCTTCTCTTTATTTTTGGTTTTTTTTTTTATCTGTGATGATCTTCACTGTACTACTGATGTTTGCCTTTGTCTCCTGCTTACCTGTTTCCTCCTCAATGGCTGCTCTGCTCTGCTGTGCTATGATGTCATATTTTTTAACTTAGAAGTTCGAACTTCACGCAAATTGTTATTTTTGTCTTTGAACTATCGACAATCTTAAAAATATCATTCTATTTGACTAATGAAACTAAAATATACCCCTTATTTGCCACGTAACTTAGTAAGTGTACCCCTATCTCAAACTCTTGTAGGAACATGTGATTCTTAATAAAAAGTCGAGAGAAGTGTTGAAAACACTTCTAAACTTGGCGAGATTTTAGGGGTGATAGTGTATAACACTCATGTTGTAAGATCGGGATGTATTTCAGTTCAAATAGTTGAGTAAAAGAGTATTTTAAGTTTGTTACTAGTTTAGAGATGAAACTAATCATTTGCGCCGAGTTAAACAATGTTTTCAATACTTATCTTTTTTTTTGTTTCCCGCTCAATATTCATATAGATAATCGACTCATTCGAATTCACATATTATATAGTTTATGTTTTCAGGTTGGTTTTCGATATGATTTTTTTATACTCAAAATTTAAACCTTAGACTTCTGGTTAAAAATGGAGGACGCTTTTGAGGTTCTTTGATGATCAGTTGTTTTTTGTTGTCATTTTATGTCTTTCTACATTTTTTTCTTATTAAAGAATGTTGTCCATTTTTTAATACTTCCATTTATTCCATTATTGGTTGCACTTTAAATAGTTGAAAATTCTTCTGTTGGTGGAATTATTGCTTATTGGTAGCTATCTCATTTCTAAAGTTGTTCAAATACCATGTGTTTTTCTTTTTTGGTTCTTAATTTTTTTTTCCTAGTACCTTTGTTGTTTGTTTCTTTTGGCATTTTCCAAGTAGTTTTCATTATTTTTTTTATGGGAAAAGGGCCTGATATATTTCTTTGCGTTGTCATTAAAAGCTGATACATCCCTCGTTATAAAAATGACTCATATATATTCTTGTCGTTATACAAATGTCTCATAAATGCCTTATCATTACAAAAGAAGCTCACATATACCCTTCAGCTAAAGGGAAAAGGGTCTGATATACCCGTCATTCAATTTTGAATGTCAATCTGTTTGACTAAGCTTTAAAAAACTACTATAACATGTTTAGTTAAGTTATTGATAAACAAAATAAGTATTTTTGAATAATAACAAAACTTATTTTTCATCATTTAAGTACAAGTTGAATTTATTTTTTATTAAACTATTACTCTCTCTTAATTTATTTATTTTAAAATAATAATAATAATTTGGACAATTGATCACACCATGACAAGTAAGATTGAAATGTGGTCAAAGGGTGACCTACTTATAATATGAAATGAAATTACAATTCATTACTTTATCAAAAAAGTTACAAGCTTGACCAACTACAGCCTAACGATGGTGTAGAAAAGTGGAAGAAAAAAAAAAGAAAAGTGGGATTTGAATAATGATAATAACCAAGAAAGATTCGATGAATTTAAAATGTGGTAAAAATCATTCTTGATTTGTTCTCGATCTCCACTATGACAACAATAACCTATATCTTAATAGTTCAATAGTAGATTTATTAATCAAATGTACTATATTAAAAATATTTTTTAGCAGTAATTAATCAATGATAATAGTTTAATTATTGATAAATATGTATTTTTAGCGGTAATTAACACTTTTGTAAAGGTCTCTAAGGACTATAAGCTATAACAACATTAGATCCAATAACAATTAACTAATGCCGATAAAAATTTTAATAGTCTTTTTCAATCTTCGTATTCATTACCGCTAAAAAAAAATTGTTATAGTGACGGATACCTCAAAATTGAACCAAATTGATTAGTGCGTTAGGCAATACGATGCGTTAAGTATTTCGTGTAAGCAGATTTAAAAAAAAAAAACTATATAGATTTTGCAATATAAACCTCTTTCAATCCCCTATTCATGAAATACCAAAGAAAAGAAAAGGAAAAAGAAAATTAAATCATCTAAAATTTATGTTAATACTTCTTTATTATGCTTTTATATATATAAACATGATTTCCCATGTTCTAAATACCTTTTTGTTGTTGGCTTATATATACGGTAATATATATATATATTACCGTATATATAAGCCAACAACAAAAAGGTATTTAGAACATGGGAAATCATGTTTATATATATAAAAGCATAATAAAGAAGTATTAACATAAATTTTAGATGATTTAATTTTCTTTTTCCTTTTCTTTTCTTTGGTATTTCATGAATAGGGGATTGAAAGAGGTTTATATTGCAAAATCTATATAGTTTTTTTTTTTTAAATCTGCTTACACGAAATACTTAACGCATCGTATTGCCTAACGCACTAATCAATTTGGTTCAATTTTATGACTTAGGTTTAATTAATTGAGGGCTATAGCAATAATTTATGTAGAGTGGGAAAAAGGGCAATTAATTGAGGGCCATAACAATAATCAATGGTGGCTATTTTCCAAAGAAATTGGCTACAATTGCAATTCAAAATTAGGCTATATATAAGCCAGATACAACAAAAAGGACTAACACTGCAGTACTTAATTGTACAATATGCTATGTGAGTTGTACTATTTATATTTTATCCATATTTATCTTTATTTTACCTTATCAATATTTAGGAATCAATTCTTATAGTGTTAGGAGAACCATATTTATAGAAAAGGGATTTAACTATCATCTTTATTTCCCCAAATTATTTCTTGAATGAGTGTCAACAGTCACATGTCTAATAATGATATCAATGAGTTAGGTTTAGTTAATTGAGGGTTATAACAATAATTTATGTGGAGTGGAAAAATAGGCAATTAATTGAGGGATATAACAATAATCAATGATGGCTATTTTCCAAAGAAATTGGTTGCAATTGCAATTCAAAAAAAGGAAAAAAAAACTAACAATTCAAGACTCCAAAAATTAACTAATACATGCGTGCCACAGAGGCAAGCATATGGATTGTGCTTCTTCACCCTACATTTAAGTCATCCAAACCCATCCAATGACTATATATGGCATATATATATATATATATTTATATATATATGGCATTTTTAGGCCAATTGAGCTTATATGACAATAATTTGGAAATGCATTAATTTGTTCGGTTGAAATTTGTCATGATCTCTGATTCTCTGTTATGCCTTCCTCTTCAGGTGATGATTATGTGATCATTGGATGGGTTTGGATGACTTAAATGCAGGGTGAAGAAGCACAATTCATATGCTTGCCTCTGTAGCATGCATGTATTAGCTGATTTTTGGAGTCTTGAATTGTTAGTTTTTTTTTTTTCCTTTTTTTGAATTGCAATTGCAACCAATTTCTTTGGAAAATAGCCATCATTGATTATTGTTATATCCCTCAATTAATTGCCTATTTTTCCACTCCACATAAATTATTGTTATAACCCTCAATTAATTAAACCTAACTCATTGATATCATTATTAGACATATGACTGTTGACACTCATTCAAGAAATATTAGACATGTGATAGTTGACACTCATTCAAAAAATAATTTGGGGAAATAAAGATGATAGTTAAATCTCTTTTCTATAAATATGGTTCTCCTAACACTATAAGAATTGATTCCTAAATATTGATAAGGTAAAATAAAGATAAATATGGATAAAATATAAATAGTACAACTCACATAGCATATTGTACAATTAAGTACTGCAGTGTTAGTCCTTTTTGTTGTATCTGGCTTATATATAGCCTAATTTTGAATTGCAATTGTAGCCAATTTCTTTGGAAAATAGCCACCATTGATTATTGTTATGGCCCTCAATTAATTGCCTTTTTTCCCACTCTACATAAATTATTGCTATAGCCCTCAATTAATTAAACCTAAGTCATTGATATCAATATTAGACATGTGATAGTTGACACTCATTCAAAAAATAATTTGGGGAAATAAAGATGATAGTTAAATCCATTTTCTATAAACATGGTTCTCCTAACACTATAAGAATTGATTCCTATATATTGATAAGATAAAATAAAGGTAAATGTGGATAAAATATAAATAGTACAACTCACATAACATATTGTACAATTAAATACTACAGTGTTAGTCCTTTTTGTTATTGGCTTATATATACGATAATATGATATTTTTGAGGCCAATTGAGCTTATATGACAATAATTTGGAAATGCATTAATTTGTTCGGTTGAAATTTGTCATGATCCCTGATTCTCTGTTATGCCTTCCTCTTCAGGTGGATGAATATGTGAGGGACTAAATACAAATGGAGAAAGCAATTTGAAATACAAATAAAAAAAGCTAGAGTGGTATTTAACTGTTCTATCAGAGTCACTTTCTTTTCATGGGTTTACACGAAGACTTTCCTCCTGAATCCTATTTTAGTTTACTTTTTCTGAACGGTACAAATGTACCGCTGAAGAAGCACCAACATCTATGTGAAAAAAAATCTGTTTGAAAAAATGAAAGCTAGATTACTGTTAGCAGTTGCAAGATCAAGAGATACTTTTTAGGATCTATCATTAATATTTTTACCATTGTTAGTAGTGTAATTCTCAACTAAAGAATGTGTGAAATTACAATTTTGGTTTGATGACAAAGATTTTTTTTTTTGGTTAATTCTCAAAATTACAATTGTTGATGATTCTTTTCCAT